ATTAATTATTAATGTTAAATTTTAATAATTTTTTCAATATGCAGTGGAACCCTGTTAATCCGGTCACCAATGGGCCACAAAAATCTGGCGGTATTAACACAGTGGCTGTGTTAAAGGGGTTCTTTCAATAAGAAAATGACTGACTGAGCTTTTGTTTGGGCCAGAATAAAGTGGCCATAATAACGAGGTGGCTGTAAGGTGTGGTTCCACTGTAATTTAACTGAATGAAATATTTTCTGACATGTTTTTTCATTTTCAGCTGATATTCACTCTTTGCTGCCCATAAAGAATAACAAAATAGTAGCAGCTTCCAATAAATCATCTCTTGGTATGTCTGATTGTGGTTTGAACGTGTTTTTTTTCTTGTTGTTGAGCGGTGTAAGTTTAAAGTTACAGCTGGCTGTCATTTTAGTCTGGAATTACTTTTGAAAGTACATGATTGTATTTTGTTTCACAGTGGTATATTCTGTGGTGAGGCCTGCAGATGATTCAGAAAACCTAAAAATAGTGGAATTCAAGAGGCTTTCACCACACAGAGAATCAATAAGATGCCTGATCAGTGTGGCAGGTTTGTCCATGAGTTTAATAAAGTGACTTAAAGTCAGTTGATCAAGAGCAATCTCAATGCCCAGGGGTTGGTCTGTGCTGTATATTTCAAGCCACCTGGATATCACAATTCCTCGCATCCATACTGTAGCTCAAAATGCAGTGAATGACAAACTTTGGACCAATTCTTGCTTGGTGTGTAGTTGGCATTAAGAAATTAAATCAATACATACATGTACAGTGTATGCACATCTACATGTAAGTTGGGAGAGCACAAGAAAAGCCAAAACTGGGTCACTGGATAATGCAATTCAAAAATTCTTATTGGCTTAAGCCAACATGGTATATCAGCCATTATACATGTACCATGCTCTACTGTCAATTATGTTAAACATATGCAGTGCCACATAATTTTTTGAGGCATTTATATTTATAATATTTTTGTTTTCTATATTCTTGGGGTGTTTTTAATAAATTATTCCACTTGTTCTTGTCGGATAGCCAATTCGGCTCTATGCACCTTGTTAGCAATCTATCATCTCATATTCAGCCCACGCTCAAGGAATAAATGTTATTATAGAATATAGACAATAGGAATGATGACTTAAGATTATTTATGTTCCAAAACTCAAGTGGAACCATGAGCTATTTTCTTTTACTGCTAAGTTTTAGACACTAATTTATGGCATCATTTCTATTGTCTGTAAGAGTGAAGATATCAAAAAATGTAGCCAATTTGTTGTTTACAGTAAATAATCAGTGCCAAATCATGTGTGTATGTGCAAAAGGTAATTTTTTTCTGCTTGAAGCCTGTAAGTTTGTTAGAAATTGGCACAAGATACATAAGAAAAACAGCTAAAAGCTAATAAACTTGTGGTCCTCATCAGGGCTCAAAAAAAACTTGAATTCCAGATTGCCCCTGGGACAATTAGCTCTCAAATTTTGCTTGCCCATGGCAAGTAATAGTTTTCTCTTTTAATGATTTGGTTGGCAGATGATTTGCTTGATCTCTTGCCCATTGGGCAAGTGAGAATGGAAACTTACTTGCCCAGAATGAAAGTCTACTCAGTTCCAAGACAATAGGACGGCACTTTTTTCGAGCCCTGCTATACATGTATCCTTATCAAGTATATCTGATCCCTTCACCAATGAAAATGTAAGAATTTTGCTAGTCATTGTAGTCATCTTCATTGTTCCTCATCGTGCCCCGCAGGACACTTAAGGCCATAGTCATTGTAGAAAGCAGACTAATTTCCCTTCCTTTACTTTAGACTGTATGTTTGCTTCTGCATCATTGGATGGAGCCATTGTCCTTTGGAGCTCTCATAGTATCTCCTACACACGTCAGTTTAACTTCGTTAAGAACTATGAAGGGCCAAATCACACATATCCTGCTAGTGCCCAGCATGTGTTTACTGTAGATCAGGTAAGAAGAAAGAAATGTATCTTGCTCTAAGTTTGTTTTCCTTCTTTTGAGATCTGTCTATATTTTTGTTGGTTTGGTGTTGAACCAGCCATTGTTAATCTCTACATGTAGTAACCAACCAACCAAACAAAGGGCTTTGAATATAGCTCTGCATACATGTAACTGTGAAGACAGTCTTTAGGAAATACCATAATAATATTATGTAGTATAATCTAATTTGAACTCCAACATTTTGGCAGACAAACACTCTATAGTATGATAAATGAATAAAGATGGCGAATTTTAAGCTTGCTAATGAAATGTGAAAAGTGAACTGATCAACATGACACAAGTGTGGGACAAAGAAAAAATCTGAGTCTCCGACAGGGGACCAGGGACTGCGATTTTTTTCTTTGTTCCACGCTTGTGTCATGTTGATCAGTTCACTTTTCACAGTTTATAGTATTCTTATATATCAACTTGTGCATGTTCCACTTTTGGTAGTTTTTCAAGTTACTCATGACAACTAGGAAAATAATTATAAGAAGATATACATTGTAAGATTATCATCTGGAACTATAAATAAAAATATATTTAATAAATGTATTTAGCTTAGAGTCATGTTGTAGGATCTGAGCGCAGTAAGGGCTATGTAAGATTCCTGACCTGCAATGACAAAATTGACATTTCTTGTCCTTGCCCCAACCAAACTATGTGGAAGCAAGTAGGTATTTTACCACCTTTATTCTGCTTGATTTTGTTGAAAAGATTGTAAACATATCAATCACTAAATGGAGTGTACACACTAAGTGACTGTTGATGGATCCTGTTTGGATTTAGCCTAAACTTTGGTGGGTAAAAGTTATCTTGAGATATTTTCTCTCCTAAACAGGTACTGCCTTTTCATGAATAATGCCAGATATTAACTCTTTACTCCTTTGCCATTTACTTTTTAGAGATACATTTTTGCTTCAATTGGTCATGGATTTTTCCTCTTTGATGCAATGACAGGTACATCTTTCTACATGTATTTGGAAGGAATTTTATTTATGGACTAGATATTAATCAACTCAGACAAGCAACGTACATTTGTTGTTGGGTAAAAATAAATGCATATTTCAAAACATGATGTGTTTTATATGTTATTATAATCCCACCACATAATTATTAGGTATGTGATGTGAAGACCTCATTTGTATGGGTTTATTAAGATTTTAACTATGCTGCTAATTAAATTGGTTTTGATTTCTGAATATTTCTGAAAATTCAGTACAAAAAAGTGTTCCTGACCAAATTTCATTTTTTTGAGGAAAGTTCCAATCTTTCAGTATGGAGGCTAAACTGCATTTTTATAACCGGTTGCTTGTTAAGCCTAATCAGTGCAGCATCATTCAACAAACAAAAATTTTCAATGCTGACAGTCTATAAAGTGGCAATTAGAGTTTGCATTGATTTCATTAACCACCAGTTAGCATCAGCCTAACAGTGTTTGGATTTGGCCAGTGTATAGAGAGTTTGATATAGCCTGTTCCAGGTCTCAGTTGTTGGGAACAAACGAAAAAAAGAGGGTGATCGAGGAGAAAAAACATGGGGGACTGAGGATGAATATTGAATATTTCTAATGACCACTGATCTGAACTACAATGGTGGACAAAATTCCTTGGGACACTTGTGTCGTTGCATGAATTATCTGCGTTTTAAAAACGGAGTTTGAAAAAGCACTGCTGTCCTTTTCTGCCCCCCCTCCCTCCCCCACCCAATACAATGTTGAAACTGTGGAGAAATTGCATGTACATGTGTCCAACATTGTAGGTGGGGTGGGGGGAGGGGCTGAGTAAGTGTAGTTGAATTCGCGCGTGACTGTTTGTTTGGCACGTGTGAAAAAGCGCAATAAGTGCAAATTTGTCCCAAGACTTTTGTCCATGATTGTAGCTTACACTACCCCAGGAGAGCATTGTTTGTTTGTTTGATTTTTGTTTGCTTTTCTGTTTGTGTTCACATATTAATTTATTAAGTGTTTTGTTCCTTATCATAATTGCAGGCAATTGCCTCGCTAAAGTCCCAAATGCACATCATGGAAAAATAATTCATTCTGTTTTGTTATGTGATGGGTAAGTTTTTTTTTTCAGTCTGTTCTTTTGTATTTTTGTTCATTTCTAATGCCTTTAGATTAACAGTTTTTGTCTAGACTATAGTTAGACTATGACGCCACGTGAAATCCAATTTTCAACAAAGTGTACAGCATCTCATACCACAACTGAACACTTCCCAGACAGGCAGTTCTTGTATAGTTGTTAATTTTTAAAAGTCAACAAACCAAAGTACATAAAATTATTCCGGTTTATATAAGAACTAAGGATGGGTTTCTGTGTATCCTCTACACTTCCCAAGACACTATCAAGGCAATTTTGCTGCATTTTTTGTCTTCGAAACAGAGCTAAAGTTATGATTGCCAGCGAGTACCTTCACTCTGGCTCAAAAAGGTCCTAGAACACCAAGATCCAGATATCGTAACAAGTGAAATTTGTTTAAGGGAGAGCAAATTGTGGTGTTCATATCTCATTAAATGTTTACAGTATTTCTTTCTCCATGAAACAAAAGCCATTTCAGTTTGACATCATGACCCTGTACATGTCCATTTTCATAGTAACAAATTATTAAACCAGGCCATTATTTCTTGGTTTCCATCAATGATAATGTGTCTTTTAGGTTTGGTCTTTCAACCCCTTGAACTCATGCCACTGATAGTGCTCCTTAAAGTCCAAGTCTCACCATTCAATGATGTAAAACAGTGTGGTTGTTATTTTGGAAAATTTAATATTTTCTGTTTCTTGTCATAGTTATATCCTGGCCACTTGCTCTGAGGATGGTTCTGTTAAAATTTGGGGTTCTCCCAATCCTCTTTTAGTCTGTAAGTGATTCAGTCTCTGATATGTAAACTACAGGGTGGATCATGATAATCAGTTTGTGATTACCGTTGAACTCAAATAAATAGTACAGGAGTAGTTTGTTATTCTCAATAAAGGAGCAGGGATGGCACAGTTGGATGCCTCGCTCCAACAGAGTTTTCCTCAGATACCCTGGCTTTGCCCCCTTCTGTAAAACCAACATTTCCAAATTCCAATTCGATGTGGACAGAAGACCTCCATGAAAACCAGTTAGGGCTGACCTGGATTCCTTTCTGAATATTGTAGTGTAATTATTTATTTGTTATCATTATTATTATTATTATTATTATTATTGACTTTGGAGAGATCTTGTGTATTAAGTCATCCATAGTAGTTCAATTTTACTGTTTAACATGTTTATTCACCTTAAACAGGTGATGGCTCTGAGTTGAAACCCTTCACTTTGCAAGTAGAAAGATTTCTTGGTAAAAGGTACATACATGTATAACATGAAATGAATTAAACATGCTTTTGCCTATGTCTACCCATTCTCATTTCTTCTTCTTTTTTTATACGCTGTATTTTGTTTCTTTTCCAGTATTTCCGAAATTCAGAATTTAAAGACTCCCATGATTCCAGCTCTCCTTGGGGAGTGCCTTGCTCACACCGGTGCTATAAATGTAAGTAAAGCAAAGTTCCTTTGAAATCATCGGGACGATGTGTCTTAAGTTACCTCTAAAATTTGATTTCAGAACAAATTGGTCACAATAATTGTTATTTTTAAACAGCTTTTATGTGGGGTGTTTCAGTATAGTTCTCTACCAACAATCTGACTCACTTAAATCACGCTCAGTGCTATGTTGTTGTTTGCCTAGCTTCAGTCAAGATGACTGAGAAGTCTAGCATGCTTCACTATGCCCTTGCCTTCCCCAAGTGGCTAGATCACCTATTCACCCAAATTAAGGTCAGACTACAGACACATTATCCCAAACACAATGTTGTAGAAGGGTTCTTAACCCACCCCTGCAGTCCAATTGGTACTAGTCCCATCCAGGTCTACCCCCCCCCCCGACTCTCTCCGTCCCCCGGACCCAAAGAAACTCGGGTAACCACATTTTTTGCTTTCTTGTTTCTAAGATGGCAGTTGATCTTGGCGAGGAGGGCTTTGCATCATGTGGTTGTGATGGCCTTGTTGTCCTATGGAAGGTAATTGATACATTCCTGTCTGTAGACATGTCTAAAACTGAGCCATTAACATGTCTTGTGGCACAGATCCGGTACATAAAAGAAAGAAACCTGGTGCATTCTTTACCGACCAGTTCTATGTTAGTTATGTGCCAGTGAATTATAAAGTTTTGGCAAATGCCTTAATCTTCAATGCTGATAGTACTATTTACTTATGTTTTTTTTTTTGTTTTTTTTTTTGCGTTTTTGCTGGTTATGTATCCTCATCTGGATACCTTTACTTGTAGGATGGTGTGTTGGAGAAGAAAAGAAGAAATGAAATGGTTCGAAACATACTGTTATCAATGGATAATGTTTCATGAAGATTGCTCCACAGAAAGAATATTGATATTCATACCAGGGTTCATTCAGCCGTTCCAGTGACGAGTTTGGTATTCGTAATGTGATAGAGATGTGATTTCCAGCATGTTCAAATACCTTGAGTGCTAAACTATTGTGGTAATGATCGGGAATACTTCACTTGTTTTAAGTAACTATTTTGATTCCTTCCTTATCTGAATTTTGGAGAGCAGGGATTGGCCTCCCGCCAATGTGGCCCTGNTGCGACAACCAGCAGTGATGGAAAACAGCAGGTTTCCGTTGTTTGAAAATGGAGAATAATACAAAGCCATTTCGGCCAATCATATTACTTGCATACTCACAAACTAATGTACAGTTGTAAGAGAGATATCTTTGGGCTGATTTTCAAAGAGTATATGTCAAATATTCATACTGAGATATACTTGTCGTATAAACATTATTGGCCACCATGATACCACTTCAGGCTGAAAACAACTAATTATCACGTTTTTTTTTTTTTTTTTTGGCGTTTTTGCTGGTTATGTATAGCACCTCATCTGGATACCTTTACTTGTAGGATGGTGTGTTGGAGAAGAAAAGAAGAAATGAAATGGTTCGAAACATACTGTTATCAATGGATAATGTTTCATGAAGATTGCTCCACAGAAAGAATATTGATATTCATACCAGGGTTCATTCAGCCGTTCCAGTGACGAGTTTGGTATTCGTAATGTGATAGAGATGTGATTTCCAGCATGTTCAAATACCTTGAGTGCTAAACTATTGTGGTAATGATCGGGAATACTTCACTTGTTTTAAGTAACTATTTTGATTCCTTCCTTATCTGAATTTTGGAGAGCAGGGATTGGCCTCCCGCCAATGTGGCCCTGAGGCCCGTTTCTCGAAAGCCCCGGAAACTTTTCGGGCCCGTAAAGCCATAGCAAAATCTTGAACCTTACGATTACAGAGCTGTTTTATTCACATATTCTTAATATGAAGAGTATACAATTCTCCATTTTTAGATACAGATGGACTAAAAATGGCTTTACGGGCCCGAAAAGTTTCCGGGGCTTTCGAGAAACGGGCCCCTGATTCGCTTCCGGCCCACTAGAGTGCCACTCCAAATGAAAATTCTACCAGGGTAGACCAGCTAAGGCTGATGTGGCTTCCTCTCTAAATATTGTAATAATGTATTTATCGCAAGTGTGTTTAAAGATCCCTTTTGCCTCGGAGAGGTCTTGTCATGTTACAGACAAAACAGTCAAGAGCTCCCTTGTGATAGAAATAGCGCTATATGAATAAAGTATTAATTATTATCGTATTAAGACAGCAATTCAACTCAACAGTGAAATTGACTTCATTCTTTCCTTTGTTTACTATTCTATTGATATCATTCAATATCCATTTCAAGATTAGATCGTGAAACAAATTGAAATCTAGTTGTCATTGAAAATCGCCATATTAATATATCTCAGAAGAATATATCAGTGTGTATTTTTGAGCTTGGATAATATACATAGAAAAAACATACATGACATTTTTAATGTGTCTAAGTGATCTAGTTCCTATTGGCACTAATTTAAAACACAAAAATTAATGTCTTAACAATTCCTTAAGGACGTTCGTGCGAAAATTTTCCAGTTGATAGGATTTTTTTAAAATTTTTACTGCAGTCAGATAATGAGTTACTTGTGTCAGAAATGCAAAAACAATTGGGGTCACTGACTTCGTTTCAGTGATAAAGCGTGTGGAAAACTACCCTGATTTGGAAAAATTGGCGCACGTCATTCAGCATAGTCTACAGGGGTTTATAGTTAAAAATATCGAAGGTGAGTCAATGGAAGCAAACGATCTTAGTCTCTAAGCGACTTGATTGTACCTTCCGCGCTCGAGTAATGTTCCCTTCAGTTCGTACTTCAAGACAAATTTCCGCCACACGCCCCTTTAAGATGAAATTGACCATGAAGCTACCAGATAGTGTTAGTGTTAATAATCCCCAAGATTGAACTCGCCTCACTGTATCCACGACTAAAATATTTGATTACGTACTATAGTAAATTCGTGCACCACTCCGTTGTGTAATTAGCGAACCTTTACCAACATAATTTAATACTTTGCGACAAGCAGGAGTCTTTAAGACAACAATGTGTGTAATGTATGAGAAATTCTCGAAGAAATCACCATCCGATGGTTCATGTAACTTTTCAGATTATTACAAAGTAAAGATTATGCGTTTTCTCTTTTCGACTTGAGGCTTCGCTTGTTTTACCTCATTAAGTCTTGTCATAAGAGCTGTTATAAGAAAAGCTGCATATAAGCACAAGGCAAGCTACCCAGTTGTTTTTTCTCATAACGCAATCAGGTGTTACGATATTTGGAAATCAAAAATGCACGCAGCCAATTCGTTCCAATGAGTCGTAACTAATGCTTAATATCTATAATTATTATATAAACACCAGTGAAATACCAGGGTTTTTCCTTTTACTTAAAAAATCATATCTTCATAGCGCGCAGTGAAGATACTATTTTTGTCTTTCACACTGTGAAGATATCATTCCTTTTTGATAACAATTTTCTTTTGCCCCTTTAACGACCTTTAACTACACTTTGATTTGTTGATGTATGATGGAAACATCTTCGGATCTTCTTCGGTCGTCATCGGCAATCTTCGGAAAATGTTGGGAAAATATGAAGGTGAATTAATCAACATGACACGAGCGTGGGACAAAGAAAAATTCTGAGTCCCCGACAGGAATCGAACCCATGACCCCCCG